ATTGAATAAAAGTAGCACACCTTATTAAAGATTTGCTAACAATTTTAAAATTTTAAAAAAACTATTTTTTATTTTGTTCATCCAATTCATTCACTGATTAAAATTTCAACATTAAGTAAATAGCAGTAGACGGGCGCTGATGATTGGTACTCTAATTTAAACTTCTGCCTCCGGCTTTTTTTTTCGTAAATAGGATGTTCATAATTTCTTAGAAGTTTGAAAATGCATAAATTATGTTCAAATTCTTAAAAATTATTTTAGTATAATAAAATTATGGAATGGCTTTGCTAAAAAGGAGTATCAAAGTAACAATATTTATTTTGATGTATCCGAAAAAAAATGTTGACGACAGAAATAAACACAAAATGATAAATTAAATAAAGAAAGAAAAAAAATCTACCATGATGTCGATATAAACCCTTAAATACAAAACGATCCACGAAGCGGTATAAGACCTATCCATCTCAGCTATCCGAAGACACGTAAACCTTCTTTCGAAGTCACATATGTTCATGGATAACCTCCGGAGCTTGTCCTACAGTTCACAGTAGTTAAGATCGTGTAAAATTAATAAATTAGTGGTTAAAGCTGTACTGAAAACCTTAAAAAATTTTTGAAGCTGTATATTTTTTAAAAACATGATTAGATTTGTAAAAAAAAAGTGCGCCTGGTTTGGCGCTTGGCCACGACGGGGCGCTGGAACTGGAGGAGAAAAGTGGACACACTCCGTATAGCATTGCAGTTAGCAATTTCCCTTGAGAGTGCCGTCATCTACTTATCATGGGGTATATTTGTCCACTATACTCAACCGAGAACATTTAGAAAATAAATTAATCTTTCGTTTCAAACTTGTGAAATAACGTTTGCTAGCACGTCAAGCATTACGTAGCATTTTTTCAAAGTATCCCAGTTGTGAGTAGTTGATATTATACGATGTTGCTTTTAAACAGCTAGGACAACAATGACTCAGTCTTATGTCACTGTACATATAAATAAGATGCTGGTCATTAGCCATATTTGCCACTTTAACATATTTTTCAAAATTCCTCCCCTACATAATCTACTAGTTACGTAATTGAAATTATAAAATCCATAGTTTTGCATTATGGAATGATACAAGATCCCGCAATACACTTTGAAAATGTACTTTGCTGGAGTTTGGAGTTCCATTTTCAGCTATGGAGGGTATGAGGGGAAGTGTGGCTGAAATATGTTTAAGTCACTAATAGGCTCCGTCATTTCAGTATTAACTGAAAAAAATACAAGCCACAAGCAGTAATGTGTATATGGATGCGTGTAAATCTGTCTTCCTCTCTACTCTAGCACGCATGCAGTCTCAAAAATGTCTTCGTACTATACTCTCCTTTATACTTTATGTTCGGCTATTCGGCTATTTAACCAAAAATGATCGCAATACCCTCCGCTCGCCGTCCAAGTTAATATTCTGAAAATACAGAAACTTATCATTTTGTATGACAGTAAACAAAAATACAAGGTTACTCAGAAATTATTGTAATATTAATGATAATATTTTGAGAACAAAAAAGTTCAATGGTTCTCAATATTATTACACTGTTTCAATCAATTAATATAAGTTCAATAACTAATAAAATCATATTTTTAGTTTCCTAGTTGAAAGTCTGATCAGAACTCTGACTGACCAATAACCACGCATTTTCGTCTGTCGTACAAGTGCGATGTGCATAGAGCAGACGAAATCTAATGTCTATTAATTAATAATTACTCACAAAATCTCATGATATGATCAACTTGTATGGATAAATTTTGACTTCTATAATTACGAAAACATTTTTTTGTCTATAACTCTTATTTTTCAAGATATTTCATGAAAACAAAAAATGATACTGACTTTGGTTCAGTAAGTAGCGCACCTTTAGATTGTACGAATTCACCTCTATTATCCGCTATTATCCCTTCCAACTTTATTCTCGGAGCTAATAGTAACTTAACATGCCGCTTAACTTCAGAGATGGACGAAACTTTAACTCTATCGCTGCGGTACTGTGTCGGATATATGTATGTGTATATATATACATATATATAACCGACACGGTGGCCCAGCGGTAGTTACCGTTTTGTCGATCACATCACCAAAGTTAGGCAGCATTTGGCACAGTTAGTACTTGGATAGGTTACCATCAAAAAAACTCGTCGTTTCGCTTTTGCTATTGATTTCGAAATTCGATTAGCTGTTTGTCGTTGCGGATAACATTAGCGGGAGGTATAATAATAATAATAATAATAATAATAATAATAATAATAATAATAATAATAATAATAATAATAATAATAATAATAATAAGGGTGGTGGTGGTGATGACAATGATGATAATGATGAATAATAGTTATAAAAAAACATACATATATACATATTGGGCTTCCAATAACATCGAGCGCTATTTCTTTGATTGAGTAACCTTAACATGCCAATTCAGAAACATAGCGCCCGAGTCCAAAAATTAGCTGAGACTGGAGTGCGTTGCGCTGGATATTCTTGGTAACTTCAGGTCTTCAACACTGAAGTGAGAGAGTTCCTACTACACAGTAGATTTTCATAATTGTCGAACCATTGCATTACCGCAATAAAGTGAGTATGGTCTCGCGTTGGTAAGCAGAAAGCTCCAAAATGTTGGAGCCTATTATTGTTTAACAATAACTTCGAAACATTTAAGGAACAATTTTTTTTTCTTATATGGATTTCCTTCCTCTGCGTTGTCAATAACAAATCAAGAAAATTAACAGTGAAATAAAAAGTTGGTATCTTTTGTTTGCAAGAACTTTTCACTGTTAAACCAAATATTAAATGATCAGGAAATCATTTGAGTTCCTACTTGTGGAATAAATTTCTCACAACTTTAGAAATAATGTATTTGTGTAAATTTTATTAATGTTATCTATTGCTTTTTATGTTATTCATATTTTTTGTTAAGTATTTCTCAAATTTCTTCATTGAATTTTGTCGAGCTCAACAATTTTTTTTATACGATATTGATAGAATATACTTTCTAATCAATCTTAACTAATTGAAGACGAAGTCCGATGAGAAATTGAGTACTGAAGTTAATTTTTTTATTACATTTAACTCTTATGTTTACAAACATAGAAAAACAGAATTCGATAATTTCAAACATCATTTCGTTTTATTTTATAGGTTTTTTCTTTTAATGGCTAGTGGTGCCAACAAAAAATTTTAGTTATACATCACAGTGGGTGTGATTTTTTGTAGAATTAAGCTTACATTTTTATGTTATGAGTAATAACTTACAAAAGTGATAACTCTATGGTAGTCTTGTGATCTATAATTGTACTTTGAATAAATTTTCTGGTTATTTCATGAAAAATACTTTGCATTTTTTCAGAATATACCTCAGTTCCTTACAAATAAGTCCTTAAAAGATTTGATTTTAGGTGACGTTTCATTTTAGGAATCAGATAAATGTAAAATTGTTTATGTATTTTTATTGGGGAACATACTTTTATCTAAACTCGGTTTGATAACCGATTGATATCAGAAAACAAAGTATCAGTTTATGATTACTATTCAAATACTTTAAATTAAAGTTGGTTATTATTGCTTTTGTAAATATAAATTAAAGGTTTCTTAATGATGTGATTAACTCTCTTATTAAATTATATTTAGAATTTTTACTCCAGTATTTCTTAAACTAAGTTTTATTAATCAAACAAACTAGTTTACATAATATTACAACAAATTTAATGGACCACAAGAAAGAATTTACAATTTTCGAGAAAAGTACATGTACTATGTAACTGATACAATCATATTTAATCATAAAAAACAACTCATACCAACAAATCATTATGACAAAGAAAAAACATTGTCATATGTTTGTAACTTGTGATGCTGGATAAAAAAAACAGTACCAACATAGTTATCTTAAAATTTCAATCGAATATTACAAAAAAAAAATCATAATAATTAATTTTGACAAAACACAGCAAGCTTTACTGTTTCACGGGTATTGCAATCAGCTTTTATACTATGCATCCGAAAGGTTGCAATGGTCAGAAAGAATTTTTACATATTTACATGAAGCTCTACAGTATTCAAATTAAGTTAAAATCTTCAGGATACCATATTTTACATGAAATATCATCCAAGAATCTCAATCTATAGTTAATACAAAAAAGTTTTGTCACAAAAAGTACAATATATCTCTCGATAAACATTAATCACAAAAAAGATGCATCCTATGTTGCTTGGATTTGTTAAACTGTACTATTAAAACAGAACCTCTTAAGTATTCATTAATTAATGTCAAGTATTTTGTTCCTGAACGAACGCTTGGAATAAATATATGTGTCAGTCTTTTTTTTTTCTTCATAATTTTGTAATATTACACCGTTACAGCTGCATACTGGTATACCAATACCGAAGAAACAACATTATTTAGCTACCAAAAAATTCTTATTTTCTACACTGTAAATTGAGCTCATGTTTCTAATCTAACTGGATCTAGAAAAAAAATTGTTATTATTTTTCCAACAAATGTACACATACTTTCAAACGTTTTCCCCTAATTTATATTAGACAAAAAATTATGTGATGATAGACAAGAGTATGTATCAAAATTTCTCACGAAATCACTGTACAATAATAATTGCGTGCTTTCGTTTACAATTATTAAATAGCTTATTCTACAGTATTTACTTTTGTTTTAAAGGCGCTCTAATTGCAAATTCAAAATCTAAAATATCATCAGTTTTTATGCAATAACAGTTTGGCGGACTTTCATTTGAATACCAAGAGCTTGTCTGAAGTGATGATCACATGGCCATTGCCGTTCCCATGACGAGTAGTCCTATTCTGTCCGAGGATTAGTCATAGTAATCGCAGTAATTTTTTTGGTCGTGATTTCCTAAAAATTTAAATTCAAATTCAAACTTGTAACTATACAAATTTAAACTAAGAGTAACTTATTTAATATTTTGTTTTGAATAAACGCTTACGTTATTCAGCTTTGGAAAAAAAAACATTGGGCTGCCAAAAAGCTGAAAAATCAATAATTGGATTTGTTAACATTAAAAACTTGAAAATTCTTTATGGCTCTCGATAAAATAGTTGGTCATAATTCTGAATTATATAATTTAAAGAAATGTTTCTAACTTTAATAAATATTTTCTAAATTTGAATAATGGTAGTATTTATCACAGAAGTGTCATCACCGCTAGAGCTAAGGCACAAAATCATGAAAAACGCTATAATTTAGAGAAATAAAGTACTGTTTAGCCATAATAAGCAGTAAAAATTTACGGAATAGTAGTTTTTTTACATGGTGGAGCATGTGGTTAAGACAAGTACTAGGCTAGAGGAGCCTACAAAGCAGATACCGGGTGACTGACTCCTTCTGCTTATCCTGGTTAAACGTCTACCAGGTGGAAACTGTATTTTCCACACTTTGACTTTTTAGACGTTTACTGTGCCATTAGTAGGAAAAAATCTCTTCGCACCTAGTGCGCATCTAAGCAGGGTAAGCACTAGGCATTCTTAGGTGCTTACCCTAATGACATGTGGCACCAGGTACTAAAATAATCATTTCCGAGTGAGGACGCAGTAAACCTTTAAAGGAAAAAAAATGACTCATACGAACAAGTGCAGCAACCGCATTATTTGAGCGCAGAAGTTGTACTTTGCAATTATGGTACAAAAACTATTTTTTACCTTGAGCATGAAGAGCGATTGTTGCTTGTAATCTCTTTCTGTCCGAAGGCGCATAATGTGCCCATGAGCGTAAACTTACACTTTACGGCCCTTGATACGAAATAGCTATTTACGCACCTGGTGAGCGAGGTTAAGGATGTCACAGATTTTACATGAATAAACGCCTGAGGCAAAGCCAGGCGAGTAATGTGAAATCTAGGGCATTTCTCAACCTCCGAAAGTGGTGCGTATGCGATTTTAAGTCTCCTGGTGCTCGGTAAGTAAAAAATTCCACCCGCGTAGCGGACGGTAATTTTTACTTACGGAGCACCAGTGGCGTAAAATAATACACGTGACATGGGCATAAATATATAGCAACCGGTCTCATCGAACGCACAAGTTTATACTTTCCACCTTCGTAATGTAATATATTAAAACATTGAATTATGTGTAGATATGATAGATACATCGTCGGGTCAGCGCAAGAAGTTTTTTCTAAGGCGATGTAATTTAGCAAGCCTTTTTAAGCTCAATGGCAAGAAAGGGCCTTTTCAGAAATTTGAGTATGCAAGAGCTTTTTCGGACTCGAACACGAGAAAGAGCTTTTTCGAATTTTCATGTAAGCGAGCGTATTTCAAACTCCGGGGCAAGAAAGAGCCTCTTCAAAACAGTTTTTTAAATTTAATTTTTAATTGGTAATATATTTAATATATATATANGTGCTGCTATTGTCACTCGCTAATTGTAGTTGAGTTTTACTGTCATGAGCAAACGAAAATAATAATATTACTCGTATAGTTATCAATGCATGCTAAGCGGGCGTTTACATTATCGGAATCAAGCAACAATCAAAAGGTGGTGATACCAGCGCCCTCTTAACTGATTAATTTACTGCTGGTAGCGTTAAAACGTAATAAACGTATTTATATATCAACAAAACTCTTCGTAAAAATATAATATAATGGAATATTAGCATAAAGAAATAAATATATATATATATATAATAACAGTGAGTAAGCTGAGCTTATGCGTGTATACAGATGTGCAGCCTAAGGGTGCAGTCCCATGGTACGTATAAGAGCTCCGCAATAGATTCTGTGCGATAGAAAGAGCCAATCAGAGCCATCGCGAACTTTTCCATTTTGCTCTCATTGGTTGTTGATTGGTTGTCCCGCGCCCGAACGAAACTAATATGTCGCTATGACACTTACCACTCGAATGTGTGCACGTGTCAATTTAAACAAAAAAAAGGAAATAAATTGTAAGTATCAATTTTTTTTTTTTTTAATACATCTATTTACAAAAGCCAAAAAGTCGGGAGTTTAAATTTAAAATCGGGAGTCGGGAGAAATAATAGGATTTTGGGAGTCTCCCGCTGAAATCGGGAGAGGTGGTAACCCTAGTTTTTGTTAATCAAGAAGCGCTTTGTATCCTGTGTTTAAAGGCCCTTTTCATAATAATTATTTATTTACTTAAAACTGAAGATGTAAGTTGTATTAATAGGTTTATAGCACTTTTTTTTGTTAATAATCATTTTATCAATCAATAAGCGCATCACTTCATGAGTTTAAAGATACTTTTTTAATGATTACTTACTTGCTTATTCAATTCAATTTAATTTACTTGATATTCAAGCATTGAGTGATAGGTTTATTGGTTCCTAGCACTTTAGTAATTAATAATTTCGCACATCCTCCTTTGAGATCAAGATGTAGTCTCCGTTTCTTGCCCCAGTGTTACCACACATTTAGAAAACAAAAAACCTTAAGTCACTGGCGTTGTTGGGTGGTTCGTTTACGCCGTTGCTCATTTATTTTTTGTGTGCCAGAGAAGCCACACGGATTTTCTTATTCATACTCTTATTTAGAGTGTGAATTTGTCTAAAAAATTCAGTAATGCCAGGCCCTAACCTAACAACATACCTTTGCTCTTTAGGGCTGCGCCTCAATCTATCTCGCATACAATTTAATAGAAAAATTTACATTGGTCTCCTTTTTGACACAAGGTCTAACCTCTATATGTATGTTTAACGCCTCAGAGAATATAGAACCCATAGACATATAAAGATTAGACTGCTTATTAGTAGCTGGGGCAGTGAAGCTTGCGTAGAAAGAGATAGAAGACGAGGACAGTGAGTCTTTTTCTCTCGCACACTCACGGAGTGGGTCGTGGGAGTACAGACAGGAGTATGCATTGGTGCTTTTGTACCCCTACGACCCCACTTCGTAAATGTGCGAGAAAGAAAGACTTACTGCCCTCGTCTTTTCTCTTTTTCTACGCGCGCCTCACTGCCCCAGCTACTAATAAGCGGTCTATTCTTTATATGTCTATGATAGAATCACGCCCCTTCATGTATAGAAGGTCGGGCTAGGCCTAGACTTGTTTTCACTTTCAACGTTAGTACTATACACATAAGAGAGATGGCGTTAGGGTCGACTGTCTTAAAAAAACTTGTAGGGACTCAGAGCTCTGCAGTACCGACTCCGTCCTCCGTGCTTGCTTGCGATTGCAGCGCTTCTTCATTGTAGCGGTCTACCCGCTCACTATGTTTTCCTTCTTCTTTGTACGACTGCGAGTCAGGGCAGTCGCCTCACGAGTCACTAAGTCAATAAATTCACTATTGTTGCAGTTACGAATTGGCTCTTGATTTCTCCTTCTCGACTGAACTCCTGGGATTATGGGAGCCCGTCCTGATCCCAGAGTCTACCTCGGCATTACGGACATAATCCCATAAACTGACGATCTTAACGCCATCTCTCTCATGGGTACAGTACTAACGTTGAAAGTGACCTTCTATTGGGATCCTAACACGTCACGTGACTTTTGCGATGTATATATATAGCCTAGTCGGGGTCAATTAACATAGGCCTTATGGGGACAAATCCGTTTTTATTTTTTTTACAGCTAAAACGATTATNCGTCACGTGACTTTTGCGATGTATATATATATATATATATATATATATATATATATAGAGCCGAGTCGGGGTAAATTAACATAAGCCTTACGGGGACAAATCTGTTTTTATTCTTTTTCCGCCCGGAACGAGTATAATTCTGTAAAGGCTAGCAAATAACATGTTTTAAAGGGAATAAAGGTATTGTAACTGACTTTTTTCTGAACTCAATCGTTACGAGAAGCTTAAAACCATACTTTGAAAGTGAGAAACGCACATTTAACCTGTACAAATCCTTCCCACCGCTGCTTATATATAGGTGTATAAACATGACTTTTGTCAGGTTAAATGTGCGTTTCTCACTTTCAAAGTATGGTTTTAAGCTTTATGTAACGATTGAGTTGGGAAAAATTACAATACCTTTATTCCCTTTAAAACATGTTATTTGCCAGCTTTTACAGAATTATAATTGTTTCAGGCATAAAAAAAATAATAACAGATTTGTCCCCATAAGGCCTATGTTAACTTACCCCGTCTCGGCTATATATATATCGCGAGTCACGTGACGTGTTGTGATTCCAATACATAAAAGGACGTGTTTCTATATTCTTTCAACGCATATATTAAAAAATTATCTGTTTATTCGCACTCGAAGCCTAACCTAAAAATCTGTCTTACGGATTCAACGTTTCATCGCACCCGGGGAAGCTCGAGCCTTAAAGATAAAAACAACGAAACCTCGCCAAAAAAGTCAATTAAGCAACTGAAAGACACGGCCGCCGTAGAAAAAGATCTCAGGGACAACATTTTAGGAGTAAATGGGCAACGTATAACGGAAGATCGCACCCGAGCTCCAGCTGTTCATTTCACTTTCACTGCTCGTTACGCAGAAATATGCAAATTGGGACTACCCAAAGAGGACAGAGTTGAACTCTTAAAAAAGCATCCCATACTAGGGAATTGTTTATTTCTGGACCCTCCGAAGCTGAATCGAGAAATAAAACTCTCAATTAATGAGTCATCTCGCACAAGAGATGATAGAATCATAAGCAAGAAAAGCTTAGAGTTTTTATGGGAGGCATTTCGAAAGTCCTCACACCAATTTTGGAAAGAGAACAAGAAGACATAAAAAATATTGAGGCATTGTGCGACGTCTCTCGACTTATTTTGGACATAATTCACGATGAAAGTTTAAATCGAAGAAGTCTCATTCTAGCTAACGTAAATATGTCAAGGAAAGAGACTTTAAATAGCACAGACGTAAATGAATTGTTTGGGAAAAATTTATTCGAAAGTTTGAAAATAGCCAAACTAACAGAACAGAATGCCAAAAGCTTAGCAAAAAAGGCCTTTACGCCACAAACTTTTTCAAAAAACTTCAAGGGCTCGACTCGCCAAAACAAGTCGCAATCAGCGGAAGCGAGCGGGCCGAAACAAACAACGTCGAGCTCGAA